GCCCCTCTCTGGTATCCTCTCTCACCATGACACCGAGGAGACATGTCAGGGACTGAAGTTCAGGAACTTGAATTTGGAGAGAAGTGAGGGATGCAGAGGGTCTCCTCGTGGAGGCGAGAAAGCCCTCTGAACTTGCCCAGTGAGTTCTTGGCTTCTCCTGGGAAAGAACTGGATTGTGGCGAGAAAGTTTTATTGAGACAGAGACAGAAAACAGATCTTATTTATTTATTTGTTTTTTGGAGATGGAGTCTCACTTTGTCACCCTCAGTAGAGTGCCATGGTGTCACAGCTCCTCTAACTCTTGGGTTGCTGTCACAGCAACCTCTAACTCTTGGGCTTAAGCAATTCTCTTTTCTCCGCCTCCCAAGTATCTGGGACTACAGGCACCTGTCACAACGCCTGGCTATTATTTTATTTATTTATTTATTTTTGTTGTTGTTTAGCAGGCCTGGGCTGGGTTCGAACCGCCTACCATGATGTACATGGCGGGTGCCCAAGCCACTGAGCTATGGCCCCACCAGCAGATCTTACTCCACGGACAGAGGAGGGGTCCTCTCTCAAGCAGGGGAGGGGACCGCTTACAGGGCAGTGGTGACGTTTTTAGATGTTCAAAAGCCCCATATGGGACCAGCATTGTCTTGAGGTCAGGCCGTAAAGGTTAATTATCAACTAGGGTTACAGAAAGGTGAGCACCAACAGTGTGTGGGGCATCTGGTTTAGTAATTCATCCATCCTCGGGAGGTCCTGGGTGGTGACAGGAGGTCCTGGGTGGTGACGGGCTGGAGAGCTTCTTGACCTACTTTTTCTGTGTTACCCCTACATCAAAGGCCTTCATTTCCTCCTCAAAGCTGATTACAGAGATTTCTTCCCTGATTAGAGAGATTGAGGCTAAGATAGATAAATTTTGGAACACTTTGTCATCACCTTGCAGGGGGCTCTTTATTTTATTTATTTATTTTTTTGAGACGGAGCCTCAAGCTATCCCCCTGGGTAGAGTGCCATGGCATCACGCTC